TGAGATCGCGCCTGGCCGTGGCCGAGTGTTGCTGGATGGTACAGTTCCACACCTTGGCCCTCGCCGATGAGCCGGCCCTCTGACCCCTTCCCATGACTCTTGCTCCAAACCAAGACCTGGAGCTAGAGGTGCGAGTGGGGCTTCCCCACCGCCTCAAGGGTCAGCTCATCCTGTGCCCCCCAAACAGGACCCTTCAGGACCCATAGTCACACACGGCATGCAAATGCTGTGTGCCACGCCAGCTTCTTCCCAGCCCTACAGAGGAACCACCCCCACCTCCCACTAAGTGTTAGACAAGCTGTGTTCAGGGAAAGCATAGGATTTTAGATCGCATTTTTCAAATTGAGGTGAAATTCACAAAACATAAAATTAACAAAGTATACGTTTCAGTGGTGTTTAGTACATATTTGATGCGGATCAAGGTGCAACCACCACCCATCTAGTTCCAAAACATTTTCAGCAGCAGCAAAGGCGACTCTGTGCCCATTAAGCAGCTGCCTCCCGCTCCCCCTGCCCCCAGCTCCGGTAACCACTCATCCACTCTGTGTCTCTGTACATTTGCCTATTCTGGACAGTCCACGTAAGTGCAATCAGACAACACGTGGCCTTGAGTATCTGGCTTTCTGTCACTCAGCAGCACATTTTCAAGGTCCATCCACGTTGTACCATGTATCAGAACGTCTTTTTATGGCTGAATAATACTCTATCGTAGGGATAGACGACATTTTGTCTATCCATTCCTCAGGAGATGGACATTTGGGTTATTTCCACCTTTTGGCTATTGTGACAAGTACTACTATGAACACTTGTGTACAAGCATTTGTTTGAATATCTGTTTTCAACTCCGGGTATCTACCTAGGAGCAGAATTGCTGGGTCATATGGTGCAGTTATTTTAATTCTGTTCTTCAGGGACAAACCTAACTGGGAACATAAACCTGCACTTTAGGAGGTGAAAAAATAGTACAGTAGATTTCAAAATCCCATGGAGAATGACTTTGGAGTTATCTGCTGTTTTGGAATCATCTATGTGCATCAAGATGAGTATATAACAGAAATCAAAAAGTTGTTTCAAAGCTATCCAAGGGCTGAAGCAGCCAAGGGAGGGAGTGGCTCCTCAGGCAAAAAGAAGGGTCACAGGTTCTGACTTAAGAAATAGAACTTAACTCCCTGACTTTGGGGTCATCAATCAGCCTTGGGCAAAACCAAGTAGAGTCAGACTTGCCATTGCTTCAAGTTGTGGTTAGAAGAAAAGGCTATGGGCTGGAGGGGCTGATGGGCTTCACAGA